AAAAAAAAATCGTTATCTGGATCTTAGACCGCTTCTGCGGTCTAGTGGCCAGAGTTCCTGGCTACAGATGAAGAGGTCCCGGGTTCGATTCCCGGCGTTACCAGATTTTCTGAGAAGTGGTAGGGCTGGAAAGGGGTCCACTCGGCCTCGTGAGGATAATTGAGGAGCTACTGGAATGGAAAAGTAGCGGTTCCGGTCTAGAAAACCGAAATTAACGGCCGTGGGGATTCGTTGTGCTGACCACGCAACACCTCTATCCGCTGAAGTTGGCACTACGCCGACAAGCGGCGGTCGCTCGGTCGGTATAGTTCGCTTGCGGACTAATGTCACGTAGTTCTTTTTGTTTGTTATCTGGACCTTAAAGAACCAGAGTGTGAGGACGTGAACTGGATTCACCTTCTCGAGTGTTGCAAAAGGTAGAAAATTCCCTATCTTCTCCAGCTTCTCTAGGAGGATTGATTAGTGTAGTCAGAGAGTTCAGTTACCTTTCAAGTAATGGGTGTGATAGACCCCAGAGTAGAGTGCAATGTTCGGAAGGTTTTGAAGTGTTCCTGTTTTCAGAATTTCATTCGTCTGTTATCGCAGTTTGCAGAAAATTGTTTAGCCCACTGTTCGCGGCCATACATATTCCCATCATATTCTGACGTCTTCCTGCCTTGTGCTGTGGCTCCTATGAGGCGATCAATTCATGTCTCGACATTCACTAGCAAGCTCCAGCTTACCAGCGACATTGTCGCTGTACTGGCTTCTGCCCCGGAACTGTTGGAGGGTACTAAGTATCATAATCGTGCGTTGTCCTTCTGTGCACTGTGCATGTTTATGCTACACTGAATACATGACGGGAAACACGGACCAAGTATGTTCACCTCCCGGAAAAGAGAGATCATTGCAGTACAATGATTTCCTGCTTGGCAATCGGATGAAGCAGATATGTGGGTGGTCCTCCAGTTCAGTGATTGTTACTCGCTTTATTTAACTGCGCTTTATCAACCGATAGGCCCGTCACTGTAGCCGAGCAGTCTAATGGCTTGTACTGTCTTCGCTCGCTCGGAAGCCGGTATCATGGTTTCGAATCCCACACAAGGCATGGATATTTGATGTGTGTATGCGTTTATTCTGTGTTTATGTTGTCCTTTGTTTAGGGAGAGGCCTTGCGACAGGCAGATAACTCGTCCAAGGTGTCCTATCGTCTGTAAAATGATCATGAAACTGAGAAATCAGGCCTATGCTCCAAAGCGGGAGCAAGAGGAGAGAAAAGAATATCAACTGATAGCCGATAAGATAAGCTGAAGGATGTTAGTCGTGAAAATAGCATAACTTTCAGGAACAAAGAGAGGGAACATCTGAAAAAAAAAAGTGAACTTGAAACAACTAGTTATACCTGAATTTAATTAACCACCACACCATAGAGGCTTATGGGAGAGTGGAAGTTTCACTCTACCATTCCTAATCTTTGCACTCGATAGAGATGGGTACTCAGCGTCATGCCCCTACCGATTTACACCCGGCGAAGCAGATCCCATTACCCATTGTATAGGAGGCTGTGTGGGCTCCAGAGTCGGTTTTGACCCCGTGGAATAAAGCGAAATCTCATGCCCCTGCCGGGAATCGAACCTCTGTCATCCAGCTAGTAACCTAGTCACTATACCGACTGAGCAGTCATGACTCCATGGTATTTTGAATACCTGCCTACCTGCCACTCGGTGCTACAGCCCTGGGTGAGCCTTAGCCTCCTCTACAACCAGTCTCCACAACCAGTGCGTGCTGCCATAGGAATGGACCCACGCATGGTGACCCGAGGCTGGTTGTTAGGTTTCTGAACAAAATTCTTTTTACAGGATCAGGTTGTTAGCCTTATGCCCAATCCCCAACCTGGAGGACCAGGGTATCTCTCTTAGTCTGGACTTTATCATTTGATTTTTCCTGCATAGGTGACCCTAGTTGTAGTTAAACTACCGTCAGCGTAGCTCTCCAGGTCACAGAGTCACGCATGCCCCACCACCACGACAAGTTGGAGACACCTTTTGGGTGGTATTTTGAATAGGTGAAGATAATACTTCAGTCATGTGCTGAATGTAGTCTTGCGTATGTTAATACAAAGCAGTTTTACGTTTGAATATTCACAGTTCCTATTCTAATATATTTCCCCAGAAAACGTAACTACGTTGTAGAGAATGCTTCTTACCGTCGGTAGCGTTTTGGAATCGAAGAAATAAAGTACATAAAACTTCGTGACGATGGTACTTTAGTAGAGATATTATGGTTCTGGACATTATTCATCGTCCTGTTAATATTTCAAAACACAACGTTTCGGAGACTGGATTCTGTCTCCGTCTTCAGGTAAAACCTCATTTGGGCCCAATCGATAGAGCCAGTCCCTGTCTACATAGTTCGGAGATAGATTGGGCCCAGCTGAGGTTTTCTTCCCTGAAGACGGGGACAGAATCCAGTCTCCGAAACGTTGTGTTTTGAAATATGAACAGGACGGCGGATAATGTTCAGAAACACGATATTTCTAAATACAGTACCTGATTATAGCCATTTGAAGCTGAAACAGAGTACTGGAGGCGACTTATTCTTCATGATATGTATCTAACTGTTGTTTTCCATCGTGCCGGGCGAGTTGGCTGAAGTAGTGACGTCACTTCACTTGTATGGGGGAGTCTCTACTCTTCCTGAGAATTGTTATGCCCTTTATCAGCCCCTTTCTTCGTATATTTGACTCTCAGTTGCTCCCTATCCAGTCCTTTCATTTCAGGATACATGTATCTTTTATCCTCCCTGAGAACTGTTATGCCCTTCATTTGACTATACATGTTCAGTTCCTCGGCACAGAATTCGTGAGCAACTTCACGATATACTCCTGCCGGAAACTGAACAACTTCAGTCCAGTTCACAACTTGGCTCTTTACGATTGAGGTATCAGTATCATCGCTTAATAACCGATTAACTTTTGCATTGCTGTTGCAGGTGAACCGCGTAGACGCTACGACTTCCAAGGGAGGACAGGATGCCGAGGAAGGCGAACCTCTGCGTGGTCGTAGAGACGACGAGGAAGGTTCTCACCGGGGTTCGTTAGAGGATCTGCAGCGCGCCACCTCGCCCACCATGCTCCTCTCGCATACTTCTGACCACGACGGATACGACACGCGTTACGCCAAGAGTTTCCGTCATTTCACTCGTGAGGCGCTGCCCCGTCTCGATAACTACCGCAATATAATGTCCATCCAGGCTGCCTACCGGCCCACGCTCGAAGAACTGCACAATGAAACTCTCCACGGCAAGGTGAGCACATTGTTCTTACTAGTCCCCTAAAATCTCCTTTGGTCACTTCATCTTTTGTTGATCATATTCCAAAATTCAGTTTCGTCTCTCAGATTTTACTCGGCATACTGCCAAAAGCTGAAGTCATGCATTTCCTGACTTGTTAGCATCATGTCTGTGATGACGTTCATGAATATGGACCAGGCTCGTTATGTACGGCACATTACTGTAATGTGCTGTCTGCTTGATTAAGTTCTGGTGACAGACTTTACATGTATCGAACTTTCTGACTGCAGACATGGCTCTCAATTGTCCAATTGTCGCTATTGCAGGAGAACGCCAATAGGACAGGACGGCACGATACCTATCCTCGTACTGCCAAAGGTTAACGACCGTTTGACCTCTCATAAAATCAGTCGTAGACACACACATGGCTACGATAGTTCCATAAACCTAAGGCTCTGGTCACGCTGGAAGCGGAACAGCAGGAGCGTATCCGATAGGAGTTCCCCGATCGTTCAGTAGAATTCAGTACCCCAGTGAATTTAGTATTATCAGTCTCTGCTGTCATAAAGACACGCAGCTAGACCGCAGCCTTCACACTCACGGAAGGAACGAGTAGAGTATGCTTATTACTTCCTGTTCTGATCGACTTTTCTGCCGAAAGACAATTTGTCCTCGGACTTGGTCGGTTGGACTACGATCCGATCTGCTTGGAGGCGCTGACAGTGTGACCACACTCGTTAATAGATGGTGTGATTCCGACCGACCAGTTGACGAGATTCCTTTCGGATACGATCCGGCATGTTTCACATGCAGAGCCACCGCAGTCTAAGAAGTGCAAATTAAGAGTACACAGGCTGCTGTCTACCATGTTTATATCTGCAAATTCACCGAAATTGTCGGGAGTTTCACGCTGTAAATCTGTCGCTGGCATATCTTTGAATAAATTACAATAGGTAAATTAGAATAAGTTGTAGTTCGGAGGTATAGCTCCATGCATTCAGAACCTGGGTTCTAGATGGAGGTGAGTAGTCGTCTTCTCGCACTGGCCACTTTACCTCCAGCGAGAGGGAGAGAGAGAGGCCGTAGTACTCGTTCGATAGGAGGTTGGACGGGCCTCAAAGCCAGTTCTGACGCGGCGGCGGACCCGAATTTGTAACTCATCTGGCCCGAAACCTACTCAGCTTACTGACTGAGCTACCAAGCTGCCACCAATTAATTACTTACTCGTAAGTAACTGACGGAGTGACCAAGTGACGAAATAATCTGTTCACAAGTGAGAAGACCACTGGAATCAGACGAATCCTGTCCACACACTCACGCGTTGTTACTGCAAGATATTTTGTAATATTGAAGCATGCCGTCTTCTGGGATGTGATGCCGTGTAGATCTTGTGTGAACCGATGTTCTGGAGGAACGTATTGCCTCCATCTTCAGGGTAGAAAAATCCGCGAGCGGGGAACCAGCGTTTATTTAACGAAGTTTTTTTTTTTCTCCCAGTAGCATAGGTTACGAACAGGATGTTGAGAATATTTGGACCGAAGAGAGTTGAAGAGACAGGAGGTTGGAGAAAACTGCATAATGAAGAGCTTCATAACTTGTACTCTTCTCCAAGTATAAATAGAATGATCAAGTCAAGGAGGATGAGGTGGGCAGGGCATGTAGCACAAATGGCGGAGAAGAGGAATGCATATAGGATATTGGTGCGAAAGCCAGAAGGAAAGAGACCACTGGGAAACCAAGATGTAGGTGGGTGAACAATATTAAAATGGATCTTAGAGTGATAGGACGGGATGGTATTGATTGGATTGATCTGGCTCAGGATAGGGACCAGTGGAGGGATCTTGTGAACACGGTAATGAACCTTCGGGTTCCATAAAATGCTGCAGATTTGGCTTCTTCTCAAGAAGGGCTCAGCTCCATAAGTAAGTAAGTAAGCACAGGTTACACTTCGTCGATGGGAAGGTGTTCATAAATGGTCAGTAGGTAAGGATTTGGTAGGAAGCGGTCATATAATTTAAGGCAAGCTGACATTCTCTTGGAGAGACGCAGAAGAACCACGAAAAGATCTCAGGATGGCCGGCTGCTCGGTTGAGATTCGAACCGAGTACGTTCCGAATACCGATTCCAATGGTGAGACTGCATAATGCATGGGAGATACATTCATTTATTCAGATAAAGTATCCATCTTTATTTCAGAGACGGAGGCCATTAAGGGGCAGTATTTCGTCACATTTATTTAGAATTGGTTTTAAAAATAGTGGAGTACTAAAAGAAACAAAGTCATAATAAGACCCAATATAACAGAACGCTTGTCTCAAAATAACCACCAGTAAACTGTGCGGTCCCAAGCGTCATCACAGCGGCGCTGCTTTCTCTCAGAGCTCTCCGACTTCACGTTCACAGATGCCCCCTTCAGGCGGAAGGAGAGGGTTGGAAAGTAAACGTTTCAGGCACAGACTCAGGCCCTTGGAATAGATGTACATATTTTACTCAGAATCTGCAGGAAACTTCTGACAAACTTCTCCGGCGAAGACTTACCGCAGGTAATGTAAGGCCGAGAAAAGAAGGAATCACAGATTTGGAATGGATAACGACGGCCATGTACGTGTAATTGGTTTAGTCTGAGTAAGTGAAATGTTTAGGCCGCGCCATAGCTCAAGCGGTTAGTCGCTGGGTTCCCATCACGGCGGCCCGGGTTCGATCCCGGGTCTGGTCAAGTGAGAGTTTGATGGACAAAGTGCCGCTGGGGCAGGTGTTCTACGAGTACTTCGGTTTCCCCTGCCAATGTTCATTCCACCATTTGCTCCACAATCACCCTCACCTATCATCTGGAGCTGGTACAATAGGCCAGAAGTGGCCGCAGTACAAGGGACTTAATCCTACCCCACTAGCAATAAAAGGAAAAAGGTGAAATGTTTAATATAGCAAGATTTTAAAAGTTTACAGGCACATTCGACAGAAGGAATTATAGATTTTTTTCAAAATCGCTTTTTAATGGATCACTAAAATCAGAATAAAATCTGATTTCAACGCTGTCTGAACTGTATCGTGATTTTGTTTCTTTTTCTTAATTTATATCTTTTGCTGAAACTGTTGTTGTATTTATTTTCGTATAGAATGCCCTGTTACGACCTACAATGAAAGACGCCGGAAGCGGGATCAGTTCTATTGCAATTAAATATTCATATGCTTAGGCCTGTACGTTCTCCGGGCTAGAAAACCGAAATTAACGGCCGTGGGGATCCGTTCCGCCGACCACGCGACACCCTCTATCCGCTAAAGTTGGCACTAACTTCGCCGACAAACGGCGGTCGCTCTGTTGGTATAGTTCGCTTGCGGACTAAAACCATGTTTTTTTAGGCCTGTACGTTCAGATGCGAGGAAACTTCGTTTAATTACTATTGAGAATGAGACTTCAATAATCTCCGTTTTTTCCTGAAAAACCATCATTCATTTTTTAATTTACAAGTTGGGAAATTAACGCATCGTGTCATCTTTTTAAACCATCTAAAAATGAACCTTTATGCAAAACGTGTATTGAACTTAAAATATGAAGAATTCCGTCTTCTGGGATGTGGCGCCGTGTATACATTGTGTTAATCGACGTTTCGGAGGAACGTATCGCCTCCATTTTCAGGGCATAAGAAATCCGCGAGCGATGAACCAGAGTGAGCAGGTGACTGCTGATTTCTTATATAGCCTGAAGATGGAGGCGATTGGTTCCTCCGAAACGTCGGTTAACAATATCTACACGGCGCCACATCCCAGAAGACGGAAGTCTTCATAGTCAGCGCTGTGAAAACCTCAAATCTTACAACATGAGGTTCTTTTACGTGCCGTAAATCTACGACGCGGGACTCACGGCTTAAAGTCCCTCCCGGAGGACTTGTTTCCTGAATTTTTTCCGCCCTTAAAAATTCCACGACCTCCGCCGGGTTTGAACCCGCGTGCCTTGAGTCATGAGGTGGGAACGTTACCCCTAGACTACGGAGGCCGCTGTCGTTTACAATTGCTGCTGGTCTTCGCCAGCGCAGTCATTCTCAGGCCCGAGTCCCGAGGGACTAATGACCATATTTTACTGTCTCAGAATCGAGACGCCCCCAACCTAGAGGGCCAGGTCCTCTTATTTATATGCCCCCAAGTGGACTCAGTCTCACCGCACCCCAAAAAACTAAAAAAAGTCGAGCTAGCAGGAGAAGAGCAGCACCGGCTCCTACTCTTCGACTCTGAAGAAAGTGAGAGTACTATCCTCCCAGACATGTACATTTGTACCAGAGTACACGGCGTCACATTCCAGAAGACAGCACTCTTCATAGTCACCGCCATTAGAATTTTAGTATCATTTTGAGTTTGATTTAACTTGTCTTTTGATGAAACGCGGTTTTACCATCTTGATAGAGGCCACAACATTTACATTCCGATTGGTGTCCCGTCAGTCAACCAGTCAATGAATGGATCTTTTCTCGTATGTTATGAGAGTCGTATTCTGTGACACCTTAGTAAGTAAAGTTACCATCTATCTATCTACATACCTGTCTGTCTACAGCCCTTTGTTGGACCTTGACCGTTTTTTTCAGTTTCGTGAGCTTTTACACAGTCGGTAGAACTCCTTGGACGGGGGATCAGCCCATCGCAAGGTCACAACCTATACGGAACAACACAAACACACAAGAAACGCACGCACAAACATCCACACCTTGAGTGGGATTCGAGCCCACCATCCCGGTGTTTGAGCGGGTGTAAACAGTGCATGCCTTAGACTGCGCGGTCACCGTGATCGGCAAGTTACTTACTTCGATTCTCGATGGGGATATTTCCTCTGAAAATGCCAGGACAGTAATTGTAGGGATGTAAATAAACTAGAATCTGACGTTTGTGTTGGAGGAAGGATGGGCTCTGATACTCGTGCATTTCACTCCACAGTGGTCTCGTTGATTATTTCATTCCATAATTTAGTCTACATTTGTATGCTTATTCTTTAATTTCCGTAGGTTTTCACATTTACTGAAGGAAGT